TATATCGTGTCGACATATGACTGGAAGTAACTATTGTTAATTTATAATAAGTCGTCGATATATCCGAATGTTGAATTGAAGGCCAAGGCAAACATTTTGTTCTTCTAATACCGGTATATAGGATTTTAGATAAGTTTCAAAATCTTGGTGATTTTAAAGTTTCCGAAAGTTCCTTGAAATTTATAAGTATATACATCTCATTTACACCACTTCTCGAATAATTGTACTCCTGAAGTTTCTCCTTTACATTTCGTAGTATTCCATTGAGGAACTAGTTCTAATTGTAACGGGGACCGTTACAGATGTTCCCCAAACGCTCCCCAACTCCCTTTTTGTGCAGATTTCCTTTAAAACTTTTTTCAATATGCTTAGTATCCACGATTTCATAAAAATATTTTAAAAGCTACAATGATATCAACTTTTTGTCATTAAACGCATTGTTCGCAAACACGTTTGCATGCACATGCAAGGTGATCATGACATGTTGTCTAAACCATTAACATATCTTTATATTCCAGAAATCAATAAAAACTCATAAAAATATAAATTTTACCGTTTTTCAAACATATTGTTCATTTCACGCATTGCGTGTGCACATGTGCATGCAAGCACATCCTTGCATTCAATTTTGATAGCAATATCATGTAGGAATCCATAATACCTATTCATATTCTAATCTTCATCCTGTTTTGTTGGGAAACAAGAAAGATATAGGCATGTAAAGTTTCAGCCAATCAGATTGCAGCACACGTGGATTTATGTGCTTTCATGATAATTCTTTTATATCATGCGGTAGATCTTCATAATATGTGACTAAGTTCAAAATTTCAAAGGATTATGACGTAAAACAAGAAAGATATTGAGACTTTAGTTTCAGCCAATCAGAGCAAAGCGCATGTGCATGCGCGTAAGATCTTGCAATTTTGACAATGTCATCTTGTCCATACTACTACTATATTCATGATTGTGGGTTTCAAAAAATTCCATCAAGATATAGAAAAGTTACGGCTTTATCCATTATCTTGGTAATTTCACATGTTGCACGTGAGTGCTCTTACCAGCATGCGGGCATGTACGTGCTTTCATGAAAATTATTATATATCAAGCTATAGATCTTTGTATCGTGTGACTAAGTTCAAAATTTCAAAGGATTATGACGAAAAACAAGAAAGATATTGAGACTTTAGTTTCAGCCAATCAGAGCGAAGCGCACGTGCATGCGCGTGAGATCTTGCTATTTTGACCATGTCAACACGTCTATACTAGTAATATATACTTATATTATGAGTATCAAAGCATTTAATCAAAAAATAGAAAAGTTACGGCTGTATTTATTATTTTGGTCATTTCACGCGTTGCACGTGCGCGCTCTTGCAAGCACGTGCGCGCAAAATGACCTTCGTTCCGCAAATCTACATTACATGCCTACTGACCCTAAAAAGGTTTCACCTAAGTCGGACGTGTAGTTTACAAGATCATTCGCGGAAAAGATTTTCCCAGGAAGAAGAAAAATAATAATAATAATAATAATAATAAGAAACAGAGTAAAACAATATGTTCCCCAACTTCGTTTGGGGAACATAATAAGAAGAAGGATATGGAGATAAAGAACAGTATTCAATCTCAAAGTCCATAAAACAATTCAAAATAAGAACACAGCAAACACGGACCCCCGAAACATCAGAGGTGATTGGTGAAGCATTTATTGGAAACCGCTATGTATCTTCGTTTGTAAGAATTTTTATGAAGTTTAGGATTCTAGTACCTGTATATAGTTTTAATTATCATCTTAATCAATCAGATTTCAGTATTTATCACAATTATAACAACGCAAGTTTTAAGTTAGAATTGTTCCTTGAATTCTTTAATTCCTACTGAAAATTGCATGTTAAGATGTTGATAATTAACTTCTTTAATCAAAACCTTACCCTAGTAGCACTTCAATCAGCTGACATGTTAATTCTTATGAAGCAGAATTTATCTGAAAAAAGAAAAAAAACTTGAAAAATACACGTGAAGAAGAAAACATTTGCTCTGGCCTTCAATTGGACATTCAAATATATCGACAACACTTTATCAATTTACTATACTGTTATTTATTTTCATATATGTCGACTCGATATATCCTAGTGAACTTGAAATAAGACACTAGATTCTGACACATCTGTTTCTTATTTGTATGTTTTACTGAGTAAAAGAGTAAAAGACGATAAAGGTCGACTTACCACTAAATTGAGTGACAAACGAGATTGCTTGTTTTTCAATCGTTAACTTTTTTAAATCTATATAGTAAATTAGTAATATTTCACTATCGCCTGCATATATGGTCTCCCAACTTATTCGCTTTCAAGAGCGTGCTCCTAGTACTACGATCTATTTTAAGAGCAAGGTATGCTACTAAATACTAAGTTGATGTTACAAGGATTTCAGCAAGCTCTATCAAAGTCGAAATTTCGACTTCTACGTCGCTACAATGACGTCATTTGTATTGTTTAGAGATTCATTTTTCGATATCTTCACCTTTTATCTATTTGAAACAAAGATTGCACATGTATTTAATTTATTTTAAAATTTTCTGACCTAAAACACGAGAAGTTTTGCGGTTGGCCCCTGATCGAGCCCACCCTACCGGGGTATCGCCCTAGAGTCAATGGAGTCTCAGTCTGTATTGATTAAGATAGGATCCAAAATATAACCATATGGAGCCTCTTAAAGATTTTTCCATTAATCAAAATCTGAAACCCCTGGTTGTAGATAAACCACAAATCAGTTGGTTTGTACGGAAGCCCATTAGTGCCAACCTCTATATATAAAGGAAATGCAATACACTGTATATAAAAGCAAACCTCGATATATAAAGGAAATACAATATATATAAACAAAACCTGGATATATATAAAGGAAATGCGATATATATAAACGAAACCTGGATATATATAAAGGAAATGTGATATATATAAACAAAACCTCGATATGTATAAAGAGAAAAGCGATATATATAAACAAAATCTCGATATATATAAAGAGAAATGCGATATATATAAAGAGAAAATTTTCCACTGCGTGACCTCAGCTGTCCATCAAGATTATATACAGATTAACTCCTGGCAGGGGGAAATCAGTTATACAGTACTCAAAACTGTCACAGAATCTGCAAAATGTTGCTATTTAATAGTGTTTATTTGTTTGTACATGCATATATCAATGAACTGTAATTGTAACACTACTTAAAATAATGCACTTATTTGAGAAGAAGAGCATTTAATCAAATTAAAATGCATTCATAATGAATTATATGTGATACATTAAAAGTTTAAATCTAAAGTTTAAACTTATCTAGATAGTTACAGATAAGTTTAAATTTCAGATTTAAACTTTTAATGTAACATATCTATTGTATTTTCTGTGTTTTATTGGCTTTACATGTATTTTGATCAACTTCGTTTTTTTACAACCTACCTTGTTTTTTCTTTCTTTTTTTTTCTTTCGTTTTACCAAACTTACTACTTTGGTTTCACAACTGAGAATTTATGAAAATATAATGTTAAACGTGGAGTCTTAACAAGTACTTTTTTAATGCCCTAATTCAAATTTTTTTAAATTCATTATAAAAATATATTTACTAGTATGTCCATTGATTGTAAAAAAGAAAAAAAAGAATCGGAATGGGAGAGAGGGGAGAGATGAAGGTATCCTCTTCATCTGAATATGAAGGAAGAAAGCGACATGTACTATTACCGTATATATGATAATTTAAGGGTTTTTTGGTGGAAAAACGTAAAGTATTTGTAAATAAATAAAAAGAAACGATGTAGTGCATGCACACTTACATAATTAAACTGCAGATTTTTGTCCCACATATCGTACATTAAATCGATTTGAAAATCTACATCATGTAAAAACATAGTAAAACGTTTAAGAACTTATAAAACATGATAAAACACACTTGTATTTTTGCACTAAATTATATTTCAATTGAAAAAGACCCCCGAACATTTAGTGCTATGTAATATACATTTTAAGCCGAAAAGTCACTCATTGGTGTAATTCTGCCCAACACGTCTGAAATGTAAGAAGAACAGAGTGTTTTAGCTTTAGTTTTAATCCTCATAATTATCAAGATACACAAAGGAAGAAAACACAACACGCTAAATACCATCCTGAAACAGCCACATCAACTGATTGTAATCAAATTATTGGACCAGTAGCAGCTTATCATATGCATATGTTGGCGAAGTCTCTGTTGTAATGTAGGTCATTAAACATGTTAAGGTCAGGCAGTGGAAATATTTCGCTTTATATATATCGAAGTTTTGTTTACATATATCGCAATACCTTTATATATATCGAGGTTTTCTTTTTATATATCGCATTTCCTTTATATATAAATCGAGGATTTCTTTATATATATCGCATTTCCTTTATATATATCCAAGTTTTCTTTATATATATCGCATTTCCTTTATATATAGAGGTTCGTTTTTATATATCACTTTTCCTTTATATATACAGGTTGGCACCAAAGGGCTTCCGTAGGTTTGAATAATTGTGATTGTAAATCAACAATAATAAATTCATGCACAAAATGTTTGGAAACACACACAAAAAAAAACAAGTAGACATTGGCTTTATTATCCCAGAAGAAGTCAATGTGCAGATGAAAGTTTTTTTCCTAAGGGGACTGAACCCAGTTGCAATCTTCAATGACTCAGAAAGCATATACATTCTAGAAAAATCAGCGTTGGTTGGCTACAATATTGGATAAATGCTATCCTCCATTTTTGTCCTAATAGATTAATTTAAAAAACAATTACGTTGTTCATAAGATATGCTAAAACCCTTTCTCCCTCCACACAAAGGTTCATCAAATTTGATTATGTACGCAGAACATACAAATCGTGATAAGTGATAGCCGAATTTGTCATGACCCATGCACAGAGAACTGTACTGTTACATGTACTGTACAGACTATAGTATATAAGTCGACATTTTAATAATTGTTATCTTTCTGCTTGGTTTTTATTGGATAAACCATTGTCATGAAAATAGCGTTTCTTCTGAGTATTATAATAGGTAAGATAAAACTATCATATTAACTCAAAATAAATTTCGTGAACATCATTCTTATTATCAGACCTCTTGATAGTCTTTGCGGTATAAAAAAAATCCAATTCTTAAAAACTAAGTTATGAGAAAAATCACTATCGAGCAATATATTTTCCCGGTAGTATCTTTTTGAAACATTTGATGAAAGGAACACAGAGAAAATTTCAATACATCTGATGACGTGATTGAACTCTAGTGTTGCTTTCATTGTTTTTGATAGTTTTTACAGGTCACGTGACCACAGAGAATTGTCGAGTTGACACGGACTGCATCCATACAGTATGTGACTCAGCTACTGATCTTCACTGCATTGATGGAATCTGCTCATGCACAGAATTGTCGGAATTTGGTAAATACATAATACCGTATAAGTGGAAATTTTAGCGAGAAGCAAATTTAGCGATGTATCCTTAAAAATTGGTATTTTCTTTGCATACACGCCATAAGAAGAAATCACTGAGACAATTAAAATTATGAAAATTTCATGCTTCAAATATCGTTTACAAAACGTTCATAAAAGTGAGAGAAAAAAAAATGAACTGATTATTTTTTTTTTGGGGGGGGGGGGGGGGTATTAGGATGTGTGCAATATTAACTATACATCTTTCTTGTGTTCTAGCATGCACCACTCTGAATGATTGTCTAAATATAGGAAACTGGTACTGCCCTCCAAACAGACGTCATTGTATTGATAATCTATGTAAATGTATAAGACTGTAACAAAATAAAAAATAAATAAAGTGAATTAATACAATTGAAATTTTATGTGTTAGAGAGAGAGAGAGAGAGAGAGAGAGAGAGAGAGAGAGAGAGAACCCAAAATTTTCAGAGAAATAAGAATTACTACATTTAATTCTAGTGATGAAAAAGAAAAGAAGACAGATAGAGACCATGAGGCGGTTAATTAAATGTTTTATTGTTAACTCACAATTAAGCTATTTTCATCAGTGAATAAGTAGTGTCAAGTCTTCGTGATTTCTTTGGTAAAATTGGTCCACTTATTCGGAACATAAAGAAATAGAGATGGGGTTACATCACACCAAGATAGAAGATCTTATTTCTAAATGATACATCATTTTAAATTAGGATGTCTGAGCCATCTGAACCATACATGCATCCATTTCATGACAGAAATATTTATCTATATGTAAAGAGTGATTTGGACACAGTCACCTTTAAGCGCAGGTTTTAATTTTCTCTTGGATTTACTTTCTGATAGATTATAAATTAGGGATAGTCACTTACTACATTTACTACAAAAATATTTTTCACACTCTATAGTATCATGAACAACGGGAATAGAGAATTTGGACTCATGTTAAAATATAACATTTAAGAAGTGTACATGTGCAGTGAGATTCTTTTACAGCCAGGGGATTGCTTAGTTAAAGTTCCATGAGGCACATAGTATTTTAGCGGATTATGCATTATTTACCAATTTTCTACAATACATACTAGTATAACCATATGCACATCAAAACAATTCATTCTATGCGATTAAAACGTTAAGCTATTGATCTAAACGCATGAAAGTTTTTGCGTTTAAACGCAAAAAGTTTTTCCTTTAAAACGCAAAAATATCTTAGTTTGCATCTGAACGCAATTAATCATTGCGATTAAACGCAAAGTATTTTACGTTCAAACAGATAAACAGTGCGATTAAACGCCATCTTTTGCGATTTTAACGTTAAAAACAAAGTTTTGCGTTTAATCGTAATGATTATTCTGTCCACACTTCACTTCACTTACATAAACAACAATACATTTGTATGCATTTCAGCGCACTGTGAGATGACGCTAGGCTTTATTGTTTCCACACAATATGAACAAAGCGGTATAAAACATCCATCAGTTTATACAAATTAAAATAAATACAACTATTGAACTGTGCTTCCCTCGCCGCCCAGGAAAAACCATAGATAAAAAACAACACTGATTTATGTTGAAAAAACTATGGAAACCTGTAAGTCCGCAGCAATATTGCGAGGTAAACAAAATGAATGGCGGACTCATTCTCACAAACCTATTATAAGAAATTGCCATTTATTATAATGTACAAAACTTTGACTTGCTCAGGTAGAGCGTGCGCTAGAGAATGAATACTAGAAATCTCTTTAACCCATTCGAACACGTCATTACTTAAAACCCATTTCCATTGGCCAATACTCAGTACACAATTACCCGGTATAAGACTTCCGCTCCGACTCAAACAATTTGTTTACATGTCGTTAGGACAAATATTTCTCGCTATACTTCGCAACGCAAGAAATTTTAAGTCCACATTTTACTTCAATGACATAAACAACAATACATTTGTATGCATTTCAGCGCACTGTGAGATGACTAGAAATAACCAAAGAAAGGGAGAGAAGTGTGCGTGGTATATATGTTTTTTTAAAGGGGGACCTATGTCGTTCTACGTCAAGGCAGCGTTATGTGACGTCACAATAGCGACGTTTGTTTTACCTGTTGACTTTTGCAGCTGTGATATAGGCATACCATTGTAATAATAATCAATAACGTACACCATTTACAAAAAGAAAATTTATTCATTATTAATACCAGTTTTATTTGATTCATGAAATTTGTTAATATTAGAATTCTCTTCCTTTTGTTGATAATTCATAGCAATTTCAGTTGTGAAGAAATACCTTGATGATATGCTGATGTATAAGTTCAAAAAGATTTAAGAAAAAAATCAGCAAAGAAAGCGGGCTAAATTATGGAAATATGTTTAATTTCATGTTTACCATTAATTGTATTTTCTGATAAAACTAAGAAAAATTAAAAAATGTACTTATACCTATATTTGCTTATTGATTTATAATGAATGTAGATTTCACTGTATAAAGTCATTCCTATGTTCTAATAGGTGTTGGATGTTTACGGGATAATGGGGGGGGGGGGGGATAATGATTGGAATGAAAAAGAAAAGAATTAATCTGTTTCTAATCAAAACAAAATACTCATTTTTCGCAAAATATTTTCATATTAAGATGTTTATCAGTGCTTACTTGCCCTTATTTAGTGCAGAAAGGTCAATATTTATGACACAAGAGTACGAAAATAAAAGAAAACGTCATATTTCTCGTTTGTTTTATCATAAAGGTATACTTTTTTCTTTGTTAAAATAAAGAGATGAATCATTTCTTTCAAAAAATATGAATTACAACATTTTCACACAAAGACTTTTTAAGATATTACCTGTTATGCATGTCGGAATTGTAAAAAATACGACAAGAAAAACGGGGTGATACTTACATTGTGCTCCATTATAATTTTTCATACGAGATGAATTACAAGAATTTGCCTTCATTTTAAAGAAACAAGTCATATAAATTAAATACCTGTTGATTTTGATATGATTTGACATTTTTTGGCTCTTTTTAGCGCATATTTTGCGTAGAATAATAATGTCTGAAAATAATCTATTTTTAGCATTTCACACTGTTTTTGCACGTGCTCCTGTGTAAAGATAAGCATATAAAGGTATTGTTTTTAATACCTAAAAATTAAGAGCATGTGGTCAGGAAAGAAATATCAAAGTTTTGAAAATTTCACACAAAGACTTTTCGGACATGTATTTGCTATACATATATCTGACTTAAAAATATTTTCAACGCCAATGCTCTTATTTATAAATCAGAATTAAAATTAGATGGAAAAATGTTGATTGATTGTACTTGTATATTGTTTTATAACCTACTCAATAAATTTCACCCACATAAAACTCCTACATTTACCGATGGAGGTCTTATGTCACATTTTAAAGTTCTTAAGTGATAAAATCTCTGAAAAATCTCAATCGTAATAACATGAACCAAATTCCTGAAAATAAAACTTTTGTCAATGTTTTTATACAATGTACACAAATTTTGCAACATGCATTTTATTGTCAACTGAACTCCTTCTACAAACCGGCTCTTTAACTATCTTTTGCTCAGTCTTGAAGAATTCATTACTCGGCTCCTCTAAACGATATGCTGTGCATCCGTTTGCGTGAATTGATTTCAGAATTGTAGTGGAATAAAACACATCCTAAGAAGACATATATAACACCGCACAGATTTTACCAGAATTTCTCACATATCCATGATCGATCTCCAGCTTTCTTTAAAATTTTCACTTTTAGTATGCAGAAGATATTTTGACGTATGCAAACATCAGACTTCAAAGACTGCCAAATATTGAAAAGCTGATATCCTTGTACCGTTCTGACTGCGTTTTCATCCCTACAACTAAAAGAATTGTAAAATCACTGATATGAAAACTACATTTTCATGAAAATTGTTTACCAACCATCTTAATTCTCATGAAAGAATACCATTCAATTTGAAATCAATAAATGGCAATAATGTTTACAAATCATAATTCTAATTTTCTGTGTCGTAAATTAAATATATATATATAGTAAATAAACATTTGGCTTTTTTTAAAGCAAGGTATTCTTCCTATCAATATTTCCAAGGCATTTTTTTAAACCAACAACCTAAGCGGAATAGAGACAAAATAGACTCTATAATAATCTCTGCTTTATATCTGTGAAAAATTTGCTTAAATAAAATATTTGAGGCCAACCCAAACAATTCGTTTTCTTCTGCTGAATAAGACACATTTTTTAAAAAATTGTTTAATATGCCTTGTAGACACATACACTTAAAATAGAATTTAGTTCACTTTTGTTGTAATGCACGTCAATCTGTTCATAATGTGTTAAACTCTTGCATTGATATTTTTTAATATAAATATGTTTTCTCGTTCGTAATCCAATCAAATTCAAATGAAACAATCAAATCGGCCACACGATCCAACAACTTTTTTTTTTACAATGTTTTCTAAACATGTTTTAAAATTTCAGGAATTTTTTTTTTCAAATGAGGTTTTTCATTACTAACTATATTACGGTACCAAATATTACCCCTTAAATCAATTAATTTATTTACATTATATAATCTCGAAAAATGTTTTTATTATTATTTTTTTTTTCGGTGCATGTGATGAACATTACTCTTCACATCCCCAATCAAGCCTCTGGACGATTTTCATACGTTAGAATTTGCAATTACTGATTTTTTTTTTAATTACAAACATATTACATGTAGTATATTTTTGTCAGGATTCAATAAAAATCCATCGCCTATATCTTACACATCTTGCCAAAATTCAATGTAAATTGCATACATCTGATGCATCAAAGACAAACATTTTTGTTAAATATTTTCACCATAATTTTGTTTTTGTTGTTGTTGTTGTCCTCCGACAAAACCTCAATAAAATACCATAATCTACATCTGAGGCATCACTTGATAAATATAAAAACTTTAACATTTTCAATGATATTTGATCTTGAGTAGGATAATATCCAATTAATTTTCAATAAAACAAATTCTGCTAGAATTGTTGCTAAATTCAAAATAATGATTTTCTTTTTTCTTTCTTTCTTTTCTAAACTCACTAAATTCAAATCAGCTGCATTATACCACAGCCATTCAAGAAATGATTAGGATACTTTTTTGCAATTAAAATCTTATTATGATTTCCAAGCACCTTTGTAACTATATGAGACCTGCAGTACTGCGGCTGACCTCTATATGTATACTTTTATGCCTAGGTCACATTTAAGCCGATGGTCGGGCGACTAAATTTTTCTGGTCTTGTCGGCTGAAAGAACATGATCGGCCGATACAGTATCGGGCGACACGGAGCAGTCACATTAACTCCTAGGG